GTAATTTTTAAAAAATTTAAAAATTTTTTTTTTAGTAAAAATTTTTTTATATCATAAAATTTTAAAAATAAAAAATTTTTTTTTATCTACCATTACCCCAACACCACCACCCACCACCACTAACCATTACCACCCCCACCACCACCATCCACCACCACCACCCACTACCACCATCCACTACCACCACCACTACCTCAACTACCCATTACCACCATTTTTTATATCATGTGATTTTTAAAATAAAAAATTTTTTTTGAAAATTTTTAAACATTGGGGAAAAGAGACTTTAACGCAAGTAACACGGCAATTTTAAGATAGGAAAATCGGAAGCTCTTTCGATATATGCAAAGATGTATAGATATAATTCTCATTGAGTCGTAAAAATATATATGTATAATATGTGTGTATATGTATGGTTGAATTCTTTATGAATTGTATGCATTTACACACATCATATATTCGACATATATCATTAAATGACTGTGCGAAGATGAGGCTTTCAATACATTTTTTATAGAATTTTATAAGGAAAAACAAATGTATTATTATTTCATACCATTTCTCTATTTAATTATTTTTTAGATGGTGAAAATTGTGAAAATGTCGAAAGAATATGCAACTAAATTACGATGTAAATTATGATGTATTCGATTCGCCTTGGCTAATACAACAACAGTAAACGACATATGACAATAGCGATTGCACATCTTTCAATGATATTCCCATATGAGTTTACAATTATTTACAACGGCTAATCACGTACTGCGCAATCTCGTTGCAGTGGTACGTGCGGCGCAATAGGCCAGCAAAAAATGCAAGTGAATGTTCGCGGTATATATAAAGAAGAGCATTGGATGCTGGATGCCGCGTCTCGATCTCGTAATCCGACAGCTAGGACATTGGATCATCTTCCAACATCTGCGTGATTATCACCACTCACCGCGAAAACGTGACAAGACAACATTTTAGAAGGCGATCAACTTTTATCAATCGAGGTGCGCGCCTGTCGAATCTGTGCGCACTTATGCAGTGCGTGTAAAAATTGTGCGATTCAAGCGAGGCTTTGTGATCATCAAATAAAAACGAAAAGAAAGATCTAACACAATCAAGAGTTTTGCATTTGTATTCTTAATCGTTTACACGGGAGAGTCACGATGTTCCTCGCTACGCGGAAACATAATTTTGAAGAAATCATCACCTGTACGGTCAGTATCACATCAGATAATTAATATTCCCAAATATTACATTTTTCTTTGACAATATTATATATTTTAATATCGAAGTATACAATTACTTGGGGACACACATACACACACGCATGCGCGCGCCCGCGCAAGAATTTTTATTTTTTACATTATAAAATTCAACGTGGGAAAAAAATTGCATCAATAGAATTATTCCATTTCGTTTGCTGAATCAATGAGACAATCAGATCTCGTGTAAAAGAATAGTTATATCATGTCATAAAATCATATATGTATATTCATCATTAAGATAGCGTTTCAATTAGGCGTAGCCCAATGGACGGATTGTGCAATATGTGAAAGGGAAGAGGAATGGATTATACGATCGCATCTCTTTCCCCGTTCCAGATTCACAGATTCGTCCTCTCGCAGATCCATACATTCAATTGATTAATTCAATCACCAAATCATTAATTGTTAGAGATCACGAAGCCTGCAGACGTGAGATGAAAGACGAGAGAGAATCAGCTCTCCATCAGATATCTCCACGTATTCTTGAAATATATGACACGACTAGAATACAACGTACAACAGTAGTGGTTGCACGAATAACGTTCAATAGAAGAATCATTGCGAACTTAAAGGACTCGCACGTATTGGATCATCGTATAACACGTTTGCATTGGTATTTAAAGAGGTAACCTGATGGAGTGTCTCCGCCAACACTCCCAACGTTAGTTCATCTATTACGATTATTATTGCCAGTAAACGTATGCACGTTACAAAGAGCATCGAATGATCCTTGCGCTCGATTCTTTAATTCCGTCTGATATGCAATTTATATGTATATATATATATATATATATATAGCTTTGCGCGCGCGTCTCAAGTTCGTATCGCCCGAAAAATATTGTTACGTCTAGCTTATCTTGTTTTCTCTTTGTTTCCAGATATTTCTTCTCTTTACTTCGTTAAATTTTAGTCAAGCAAATCTTCCTCAAGCAGAAGCGGCATACGGTATATTCTTGGTAAAATTCAAACTTATTACAAAATATATTATATAAGAATCGGGATTTATAAAAAGTGGAATTTAAGAGAGCGCAGAGTTATAAACCTATGCTCGAATCGCAAAATAGATATTCCTCTCCGCCATTCGGAAACTCGAGGCAGGCCTTTTCATGCGAATCTGTCGATTCGGCGTCGCCAGCTAGTACCTTTGGACCCACTGTAGCATGTACATTAAAATCTGCATCGACTGAGATTAGTGGCGAGCCTGAACCAACGAGTGACGTACAACTACCTACCTACGTTAAAGTGCCGGCACCTTTATTATACAAGCCTCTACCGAGAAGAACGTCTTCCTTGGTATACATTGCACCGCCCATTATCAAATCTGCATCTGCTATCGTAGCTACGGAACCGAAGACGGTGGAAAAAGATGTTCGATATATGGTAAATAATTGATTCAAAAATTTCACGATTGCAACCATATATTTTAATTTGAATTTGAATTGAAAGCTAAAAACTAGGAGCTATAACTACATGTAATATTATTATATTGTATTAAACATTTCTAAATATAAAGATTTCGTTTTGCAATGTACTATATTGTATTTTAATATATTTGGAAATTCTTCGAGAAAAATTATCTCTTTTATCAACATTTTATTTTTATCTCACAGGCATATCCCAAATATTCCTTCAATTATGGCGTGATCGACGGATATACAGGCGATTCAAAATCTGCATGGGAGGAGCGAGATGGAGACATAGTTAAAGGAGAATATTCGGTGGTCGAAGCGGATGGAACTATCCGTACCGTTTCTTATACTGCAGATGATCGTAATGGCTTCAATGCAATTGTGACTAGAAGCGAACCTCTAAAAAATACGAAAAACACTGCAGTCGAAATAAAAACATTCGTACCTGTTGCCATATTTCCTAGGGACGGGCATAAAATTTAATATCAGTAATCTGCTGCGCCTGCTTTTTTTTTTACATACAAAATATTATACATTTGCTATTTCTAATGCAAGATATAGTTCCTTAATTGTACTTGAGAATACGCGTATTTTTCTTCCGCTCTTAATTTTATTTTTAAGTGACGCGTACATTTAATTTGTGTCTTATGTCGCGTACGGGTTTCATTCTTCAGATGAACTTTGTTACACACACACACACACACACACACACACACACAAAACGCGCGCGTGCATATAGTCTACGTTGAATAAAGTTCTTTTTACATTTTGTGATGAAATTCTTTTATCCCTTTGTAAAACATTTAGTATCGTATTTACGATATATTTGAAGAAATTACACGTTTGTAATTCGTAATTTTATATACCTTATTACAATAAAATTCTTAGATATACTTAATATAAACACGATGTATGTACATAAAGAGAGGAAATTAAATTTTTTTCCTATTTAAAAGATAAGATAATAATGTATAAAATATAAAGAAATATAAAATATTATGAGTTAATATCCACGTGCGATTTTCTCAATTCTGAATTGAGAATTCAGAATTAAATCTCCAAATATTAAAGATTGAGAAAGTAATGACGTTTTTGATTTATTATTTTATGTATCGTATGTAATCGTATAATTATATGAAACCATAGCTATCACGTAGTTTTATCGTTATTTGATATCAATTCAAAATATATTTGATAATTATATATAATGTTAATAAAAATTAAATTAAAACTTTGAGTCAATACATTTTGTTAAATTATTTTATTAAAAAAGTACGCATATATATATATATATATATATGTGTGTGTGTGTGTGTGTGTGTGTGTGTGTGTGTGTGTGTGTGTGTGTGTAC